ACAGATTTAGCTTTAGATGTAGTGTTAGGTATGGATTTTATATCTTCTCAGATGAATAGTAAGGTTGGTGAATTAAACTAGGAAAGACAATAGATTAAGTAATAATAAATAAGTATAAGTAAATTATAAATTAATAAGTAAATAATAAATTAATAATTCAATAATAAAACCTTTACGCCACTTAATTACATGTATAAAATTACATGTATAAAATGTTTTTGCTTTAACATTTCTATGAATGACAGAGTTTCATTTGTTGGAGCTTCAATAATTAAATGTTATTGAAAGTCCACTATAAAATAAAAACTACAAATGATTTCACTTATGTTAAATATTCTGTCTGGGACTGATTTATAAAAAAGTTACCTATAAAATATTACATTCTTTTAATTTTAAATGAGTGCTTCGCTATAGGGGATTGTGTGTGTGTGTGTGTGTGTGTGTGTGTGTGTGTGTGTGTTCACCGATCTGTTCTAGTCGGGTTTTAATAATTGCACAGAACAGATTGAAACAGTCATGATGTCAAATCAAATAAATGCATTAATGTAATCAAAAAAGTTATTAAACATTTAATCCTATGCGTCAACACATTCAATTTGACAGCCCTGTTTAAAATACATTTATTTTGTTAACCCAAACGCTTAAAAAATGTGGTTTCTGCTACTGGCTGAAAACATCTGTCTGTTGAATATGTGAGCTATGGATTTATTGTGGCTGTACATGTCTCTGCGGTGTGCTCCACTAATGACCTGCTCAAGTCTCCATTCCTCAAATCTCTCCTTCCTTTCATCAGTGCACTACTCTATCACTTCATCACTCCATATTGCTGGGGCCCGTGGCTGACATGTACGGCTAAGGGCCAAGTGTATGATGGAAATTGTCAGACGGACATCAGACAGAGAAAGCTGTAGGCTGTCATGTCAAGGACCGTCAGTCTTTGATGCCGTCTAGACGGTTAGGAACTTTTCTACTTAATAGAATAACCACTTAAAACCTTCTCTCATATACAGATGGCTCAACGATGACCTATAACATTATATTTAGGTGTGCGTGTCTGATTTGTGTAGGCAAGTATGTGTGGCACATGCAATTAGTTCTCATGAGAGTGCATATGCATATGAGTGCATATGTGTTTCAGGGTTATTACAGTTAACTAATATTGAAACCGATAAAATGCTCGCAATAAAAAAACCGATAAACGTTAACTGAAAAGCTAGATGAATGGCTGTCTCTCTCTCTCTCTCTCCCTCTTTCTATATATATATGGGATATATGTATATTAGGGATGCACCGATACCACTTTTTTCAGTACTCGCCCGATACCGATACTTTTATTTTTGGTATTTGCCGAGCGTACCGATCGATACCAATATTTTCATTGCATTTGTAATTTTTTTTAATATTGGGCAGTATCGGGCCCGATACCGATACCAGTATCGGTATCGGTGCATCCCTAATATATATATATATATATATATGTATGTGTATATATGTGTATGTATATATGTATGTGTATGTGTATGTATATGTATATATATGACAAAAAAACACAACAAAATTACTAAAACTTTAACTAAAATAAAAATGGAAAATATGAAAATATAACTAATTCAAAATATTAATAAAAACTGTAATAGTGTTTCAATGATACTAAAATAACACTTGTGTGTTTATGTTGCAGTTGTATTGGCTCTCTGTTGTGTAAAAAGCATGAATGCGCGTGTAATGTAGCCCATTGGCTGTGTAAACAGCAGCCCAACACCAACTAGCCAATTACAGATCAAAGGATTAAGGGGGCGGCACTGAGTGACCCAAAGTTGTCACATCAGAAGGGGGCAGACTGCCACAAGATGTGGGTGTTTTTATGACCCCATAGGGTCATGAAGAAAGAGCTCACAGAGAAAGTGTTATAGTACGTGTCCGAGACAAAACGGCACCTGTGGATAAAGACACAAAAGACAGCAGCACTTACTGAGCATGACCGAGACGGTGTTGACTTGTGGGTTAAACGAGCATCTTCCTTTCCCTGATTCTGCTCTGGAAGAGATTTGGAACACTTGCTCCTGCCAATGACACCAAAAACATAAAATCTCTCATTTCACACACACAAAAAAATCTATGGTTTTAACTAGATAAACCATCCCTAAATGACCCACAAAAACAAAACAGACAGTGCTCAGTCCTTATGTGTTGGCCTTTCTGCAAAGTTGACCTTTTTTAATCAAATTATCAAATCATATCCTTTATAAATATAAATTACTGACATATGCTCTTGTTATAATTTTATCCCATTTACCATCATGAAATCTGTTCTCAACTTTCAGCTCGATCCGAAATGTTTCACAGCCAATCTGTATAAAAAGATTTCGGAGTAATTTCCTAGCACTCATTAGTGCAGTGGTTCTGGCTTTCTTCTGATTGGTTGGACAGACTTGCCCAGAGGCTTCCAGGTTTCCGACTGCCAGGCCAGTCTATCCTCTCCTTTGGTGTTGGCCAGTTACGTGAAGTGAGAGAAACCAGAGACGTAGAGAGCCTCCGTCAGGACATACAGCTGCTGGTGGTAGAGCTTCTAATGTGTCTCGGGTACACGTGTGTAGCGAATCAGCTCATGGGGAAATATGAATAATTAATCATAACTAGTTATAATTAATTACAAATATTTAGATCCGCTGGATGACCTGAAGGGTATGTGTGTTCATTCAAAGAAAGGTTTTCCTATGGATTAATTAGAAGAGTCCATTTCTACTGTGCACTGTGTCTTTCCTATGGAAATTGTAGTGAGAGGGGTAATTCTCAACATGCCATTAGGTCGTAAATGGATCTGGTCTAGCAGAGGTGTCGTGGTTGCCATGGGTACCAGGGGGGGGGCCTGGTGTCGTTGCAGACATCCTGGCATCCAGTTTATTGGGTGAGGGGACTGTGACGATTTGTTAATCTAATGAATAACTGATTTGTTAAATCAAATGAAAAATTGTGTTTGATTGGTCCAGACGCTACACGTGTATTCATTAACTAATGTATTGGCTCTTTACATCACACGCAACTATAGGCAAAGATGTGAGTCACATGGTCACTCCAGGGTGGACCCGTCATTATGTCACAAAGCTACTCCGCACACTTTTAAAGGTTATAGGTCACCCTATTGCAGAGTTTTCATCTTCTGTAATAGTCCAGCTGGTGTGCAGCCAAGAGAGATGCACACGGACAGAGGGTTGAGAGAGTAAAATGCTTTTCAAACAAAAAAAGAATGATAGAAAACAAGCTGTTGGACTCAGATGGCTAGCAGGACTGCTCCTAATCTCATCTGGTCTCGCCTTGTCTCTTTTTTACCATTTTTTTTCTCTTCGTTCTTTTTTTTTTCTACCTCTAAGGATTCTCGTTTCGTCTCATCTCACCTGGTCTCGTCCCTTTTTTTTTCTTTGATTCTTGTTTAATCTTGTCTCATTTCATCTGGTGCCTTCGCTTTTCTTCTATTCTTTTTCATTTCATCTTTTCTCATCTCATTTCATGGTCTCATTACTTTTTTTAACTAAGGATTCTTGGTTCGTCTCTTCTCTTTTCTTCTTTTCTCATTTTAAGTCTTGTCTTGTCTCTTATGTCATCTCATCTTGTTCATATTTTTTATTGTCTCATCTCATCTCACCTCTTTTCATCTCTTCTTGTATTGTTTTGTTTCTGGTTGTCTCATCTTGTCTCAACTCATGTAGTCTCTTCACTTTTTATTTCTTCCCTTAATTTTGTTGAATCTCATTTCATTTAGTCACATCTTCTTTAACCTTAATTACTGTATGCATTCACAACTCATGTTGTGGCTTGTTTTGTTTGTTTTTTTAAGCAAATGTAGTAAAATGAAGGTGAAACTGAACTAAATCAGACACTCTGACTCGTTTTCATTAGTGAGTGTAAACTGACCTCAGGACGCCTGCCACGGTTAACAAATGCACACACTGGGCTGTAGGCTCCACTGCCGCAGATGAACAGATGCGTCCTGTTATAAGGCTGGATCACTCGTAAGAAGTTTCCACATCCATGCTGAGGAGAACAAAAGAGAGAGAGATAATTTTTCTCGTTCCTAAAAGTTATCCTAAAATCTCTTTGAATGTAATTTTAAAGTCATTTAGTGCTACATAATTCTATTAGCAAGCTGATACGCTTATTTAGGAAACTGACAATGCCAATTAAAATTAAGACTATTTATTTCGATCCAT